AGATTATGTTTGTGAGAGAGAAAACCCATGTTGGCATCCTAGCAGGAGGGGATCTGCCTCTGATGTCTCCTGAGGTTTTCATAAGGCATGGGTGTGACTGAAGATGTGTTGTGCGGGGACAAGTGGCAGTGGGAAGCTGCTCCCAGCCTGGAGCCTGCAGGGACAGTAAGGGCACTGCTGTACTGGATAGAGGTGAAGGCGTGCCTTGGAGATGTGGGAAGAACCCTCCTGGTGCCTATCTGCTTGTTTCCAGGGTCTTCCGTAGCCAAACCCAGCTGGCAGCAGCCACTGGACAGCCTGCAGCCTCCCCATCAGGCTAGGCCATTGTTGCTGTGGGCCAATCCCTGCAGGCCTCACACCGGAGGCCTTGCTTGGCTGACCAGGGTTCTGGGACACTTGAAAGTAGGACTCACCTGTGCCCAGAAATGCCAGTTCTTCTGTATGGCAGGGCCCCTGGGAATCACTTAATTCAGTCCCTGAAGAAGTTTCAAGGTTTGCCTCTCTTTGAGGGTCTCAGTCGACTGGATGATCTGCAGTTAATGCTGCTTAATTGATGTTCAAGGAGCTTAGTCATCGGAACCCTCGGGAGCGGCTTCTTTGAAGAGCTTCACTGGGTTTGTTGCTAGGGACAAAGCCTTTCAGAGGGCAAATGCGTTCATTTCCAGGCTCCTTCTGGTTTGTGCTTTTTATTCTTTTTTCCCAGAGGAAGTGTCCAACTCCTGAGATCAGGGAGTCCCCCCCACCCCCACTGCCCTGTCTGTTGCTCATCTAGCTCGGAGTACTCCAGAAAGTTCTATAAGCCTTCTGCATCTATTCCATGTGCTGGGTCCCTGGCTTTACACAGCCTTGGTTCATTCAGACCTCTGTGCTTGCCCGGGGCTTGCTTAGGGTTCAGGGTGCTCATGCTACAAAGAGTCTTCCCTGGTCCTCTGAGCTCAGAGCTTGGATCAAGCAGTGGTTCAGAATGGACTAGAAGGGTGGACAGATGATTCTGAGAAAGTGTTGCTCCAGGCTCCAGGCTCCGGACAGTCAGGGGCCTGCCCTCTTCCTCTGCTCCTCCAGGACAGGGTGCACACAGCAGTTAGAATACAGGCAGGCTCTGGCTCATGATTCATCTCCTCAAGGCCATTCTGCCTGGAGAACTCTGCAACTCTATGTGAAATACAGCCCCCAGGTCGACTCTCACACCCTCACCATCATCAATTCAATTGTATTCCTGCCTTCATTAGCAGGAGTATATGTCGAGCCTGATGGATACCCCGGTGGCCTCTTAGCTTTTTAAAATATGAATTTCAACACACACACACACATACACACACACACCTCTCTATTATTAGTCCAACTAATGAAAGCCGTAAAGCTTCCTTAGCAGGCCCCTGGCTGTTGATTTCACAGTTGTGATGTGCATATGTTAATTACATATGAGTCCTAGAAATCCTTCAAGCCCCTCCACATTCCAGGGACCTTTGGAGCCCCTCCCATCCTGTTTCCAGGGGAACCCCATTTTCTCTGGCAGTGAGCTGTCTCGAGGGAATCCCCCTTGTCGAAGCTTCAAGTGCCATTTTCAAAGCATCTGCTGTCATCCTTCTTGACTGGGGTGGGGTAGGGGGTGTTCAGTGGGGGCTGGGCTGGGTTTTGCTGAGGAATGGGGTGTCTGTGGACCCTGCTGGGAGGATGCTTCAGGCTAGAGGTGTTGAAGAGAGCAGTAGGGCACTTCTCTGAAGGGAGTCTGGTCTTTCCAGAGAATTCTCTGAAACCTAAGTGTTTACTTGCAAGCCTCCTGCAAGGAAGCCATTAGGAGCAATTTTCCTTTTGTCTGAAGACAGGAGGAGGAGGTTTGCTTAGAGGAGGCGGGTGCATGTGGGGAATCCTTTGCATTGGGTGCCATCTTTGTGAGGTAGCTATGGAATTTAGAGGAGAGATAGGAGCCTGGTTTTATTGAACCTGGAGTACCTCCCTTGGCGCCCGTTGCTTGCACACAGCAGGGCTGTCCACAGTGCTTGGAAAAGAAACCTTGTCTGATTTTCATCAGTTCAGAGGGCTTGTGGCAGTCGGATAAAGTAAAAAAATAGAATGGGCTTTGGAGTTCCTTGCTGTGTGGCCGTGGGCAGGTTACTTAACCTTGCTGATTTGTTTCTGCGCTTGTAAAATGGGTAATAACCCTCAGATTTATTTTGCAAGAATTAAATGAGATAGCTTAATGATCCACTTGATCTACAGAGCATTCAATAGAGCCTCAGTAAATGTTAGTTTTCTTCCTCCCTCCCGCTGTCCTCATTCATTAGTGGCTCTAAACCCCATCGGCTTGTTAGCAGTGTCTAGAGACCCTCCCAGACGCACAATTTTTTGGCCCTACGCACTTCGATTCGATTTTAATTGTCCCGTGATGGGACTGAGCGTGGGTATTTTTATTTTTTAAGCACCTGTTAAAACATGATTTTTAAAAAATCTGACTCTCACACAAAATGAAATGAGCACAGGACAAAAATCCGTTTAGTTTGTCACACACCATGAGAGCAAAAACAACACACCTAGGCGCACAGTGACTCTGAAATAAGTGTATGGGTAGTTTTGGTGTGTCCACGAAGGCTGGGGAGGAGCCCATCTTGTGCTGCATTCCCTACACTCACTTGTCTATGTCGGCTGAGTGTCTGGAGCTCTGAGTCCTGCACAGGAGCTCTGTGTCAGGCTGTGTGCTGCACTGGAGCTCTGTGTGCTGCACTGGAGCTCTGAGTCCTGTACTGGAGGTCTGTGACAGGCTCTGTATCCTATAGGAACTCTGTATCCTGTATTGGGACTCTGAGTCCTGCACTGGAGCTCTGTGAAAAGGTCTCAAAGGTTGTTTAGAGCCTTGGTGTAGTTCTTGGCTCCATGGTAGAGCTCATGCCTAGTGTGGGCTAGCAGTCTTTGTGCAATATAGAACGGGCTTGAATAAGGCTGGGGATGTGCGAGAGGCAGTTCAGGCTCCATCCTCTGATGGTCCTTCACAGCCAGCTCCCAAGGAGGCTGAGGCTCTATTACACTCATTCGCCTCCTCATTGGGCACTCCAGAGTGTCTGCCATGAACCTATCTTAGTGTGGATTTCATTTCCTCATAATACCTGTGAGTATTACATACCATGTGAATCCCCATAATACCTGTGGCATCTCATAGCCTAGAACTCACAAACCTGGCTTGTGCCTTCATGTCAGTAAGTCTTGGCTGTGAGCGCCATCTTCTCATCTGTAAGATAGACCAGGGCACAGAGTGTTCAAAAGGGGTCCGGGACATATTGTGTGGGCTCACAGTCCTGTAGGGTAGAGAGAAATTTCATGAGTAATTTCCAGGCAGCGCATGGGGTGGATGGTGGCACCGGAGCAGGATGGAGGAGAGCAGTGCCCTCAAGCCTTAGGAATCAGCCCATGCAGAAGAGCCAATAGGAGCTCGAGGCTTGCAGAGGAGGTGGGGCCAGGAGAGGGGGTGTGAAGATGGCCAGGGCAAGGTGGGAAGGCACTGAATCTCCCTTGGCTGCTTGCTTTATGAATGTGAGCAAGCAAGACAGCAGAAAGAGCCCCCAAGACAGAAGTCCCATGATTGATAGCAGGGTCTCTTGAAGGACATCTTGTAACTTGTGTACCTTCTGTTTATCAGAAACCAGCCCAGGCTACATAATGAGCCCTTGTCTCAAAAGAAACAGCAGCAACAACAAACAACAAAACAAAACACAACAGGAATGTGAGTCAGGTCCAGCCTGCGCTCCAAGGTGGGCATAGAAGGAAGTGGACCCCCTAGGAGGTTGCCTCCCACCATCAAGTCTCTGTCCTTGTGACTACAGGTGGGGGTGTCAATTATGTAAACACCTGATCCAGGTGGTACACTTGGGATGCAGAAGCAGGAGTTCAAAGTGGGTCACTAGCTACTTAGAGACTTTGAGGTTAACCTGGGGTACATGAGACCATGTCACACACATACTGAAAAAGTCAGACACAACAGTGGTTACGGGATTGAGACCAGTTCAGTAGTGGCTCAGAGAAATAAACTGTGGGCTGGGGCAGGTATCTAGAAGTTTTCCTAGAAGAGGCCACATCCCCAATGGGACTTGAGGGATTGGAGGACCTGTGTACTGACCATTTTTATGTCAACTTGATACAAGACACTGTCATAGGAGAGGAAGGAGCCTCAATGGAGACAATGGCTCCATCAGATCAGGCTATGGGCAAGCCTGTAGGGTATTTTCTTAATTAGTGATTTATTGGGGGGAGTCCAGCCCATTGTGGGTGGTAATATCTATGAGCTGGTGGTCCTGGGTTCAACAAGAAAGCAATAGGGAGCTGGGGGGCTGTGGTCCATGCTTTTAATCCCAGCATTCAGGAGGCAGAGGCAGGTGAATTGCTGAGTTTGAGGCCAGTCTGGTCTACAGAGCTAGTTCTAGGACTGCCAGGGCTACACAGAGAAACCCTGTCTCAAAAAAAAAAAAAAAAAAAAAAGAAAAGAAAAAAAGAAAAAAAAAAAAAGAAAGGAGAGAGAGAGAGAGAGAGAGAGAGAGAGAGAGAGAGAGAGAGAGAATAGGCTAGCAAGGCATGATAAGCAGCATCCTCCATGGCCTCTGCATCAGCTTCTGCCTCCAGGTTCCTGCCATTTGAGTTCCTGCCCTGACTTCCTTCAATGATGAACTATGATATGGAAGTGTAGAAAAAATCCTTTCCTCCCCAAGTTGTTCTTGTCATGGTGTTTCATCCCAGCAATAGTAATCCTAACTATGACATCCTGCCTGGTGGTGAAAGGAGTCTAGGCAAAGGACATGGCATGGGCTAAGGGCAATACCACAACACACAGGGCCACTAGAGTATGGCACCATCTATCCTCCAAGAGATGCTTGGAGCTCATGCCTGGAGAGGGAGGGAGGGATGTGGAAGGAAAGAAGTATCCCTGCTTATAGGAGGCAGCACCCAGAGCCTGCAGCCTAGTGCCCAGGGCTGGGGCCTTGCTGGCCCTGTCACACCAGCACCTTCTCTTGCAGTTTGGACGCACAGAGGTCATTGATAACACGCTCAACCCAGACTTCGTGCGCAAGTTCATTGTGGATTACTTCTTCGAGGAGAAACAGAACCTCCGTTTTGACCTGTGAGTGGAAGGTGGGGCTCAGGCTGGAGTGGCTGGGGTGGGGGATGGTGGTGGTAGATAGGGTACATGGGACTAGAGCCTGGGGTGACAGATGGAGAGGCAGGGATATTCTGGGATATCAGGAAGATAAAAGTGACAGGTGACATCTACATCATTCAGCCTTGCTAGGGTGTGGAAGGGGGTGGGTGCCAGATCTTTTTTTTTTTTTTTTTTTTTTTTTTTTCGAGACAGGGTTTCTCTGTAGCTTTGGAGCCTGTCCTGGAACTCACTCTGTAGACCAGGCTGGCCTTGAACTCACAGAGATCTGCCTGCCTCTGCCTCCCAAGTGCTAGGATCAAAGGTGTATGCCACCACCGCCTGGAGGGTTCCAGACCTTACCCAGCATTAAGGGTGTGGATGTGGGAGAGAGGTGTGTGGTGGGAGTGGGTGAAGTGCCTGACTCTGGGGAGCATCCACGGAAGCAATTCAGGCTTTGAGTTTTGCTCCCTGGCAACCAAGGTAGCTGCCGGCCTCTCCATGCATCTAGTCTCCTCTCTATAGAGGTCATGGGACAAGTAGGGCTCTGGTGGTGTGTGTCCGCCAAAAGAGGGACAGGGCCATCAGGAGGACTTTCCCTCTTGGTGACCAGGCAGGGAGTTTGTGCCATGTCCAGGGGCTGTGAAGGAGAAGGGTGGGGCTGCAAAGGACTGTGTCCTGGGGGAGAATCAAGAGTGGGAAAGAAAGACGCTGGGGTCCAGGGGAATCTGGCAAAAGTTCAGGGTGTGACTGGGGGAGGTAGAAACTTGGGAGCTAGCCCGGGAAAGATAGAAAGGCTGAAAAGTGTGGACAAATATGGCTCATGACAGAGAAGTTCCGTGTCAGTTTCCAGAGGCAAAGTGCTCAAGACAGTGGGTGGTGATACCCAGCCCACAACAGGTGTGTGCATGTGAGCCTAGAACAGGGGAGGCTGCTGGAGGAAATGTTGCAAGCAAGACCCAGGAAGAGGAGGCTGCAGCTCTGCTGCAAGAGCAGCCTGCTTACAGTAAGCCCACTCAGGTAGCCATTTGTCCCTTTCTTAGCAGTGACCAGGCCCAGGTAAGGAGAAAGTCTAAGTGCAGAGCTGCTAGACACACACTCTGGGGCTGGGAGTGATGGATAGGGTGACTCAGCTACCTGTGACCCAGCCAGGATACAGGGTTCACTTGCATCATTTTCCATTTTTAGTGAAATAGAGCACACATCATTTTTTAAAATTACATTTGTTTGTTTGTGTTGAGTGTATGTGTGTGCCATGGCAGGGTGTGAAGGCCAAAGAACAATTTATGAGAGTTGTCCTTCCTTCTTGTGGGACTTGGGGATTGAACTCAAATCACTAGGCTTGGCCGAAAGTGTCCCTATAGCCAAGCCATCTCATCAGCTGGGAAATGCATCAATCCTGAAAGACCCACAGGACTAATCTTCAACCTGTCTTCACTGAGATCAGGATGGATGAACCTCCAGGACTCCCAATGCCCACAGTGATGGAGCTCACAGAGTGGGACCTGACTCAGAGCCCCAGGCAGGGTTAGGCGGGATGTCCCCTGCCTGCCCTTACCATATCTCTGTGTTCCCTGTAGATACGACGTGGACTCCAAGAGCCCGGATTTATCTAAACATGTGAGTTCTGTCTGTGACTACCCAGCAAGCCTGGGCTGTCTTAAATGCCATATTCTTGCTGGACCCTGGGCTTTACTCAGGCCATATGGTGGCTATAAACATGGTACTGATGCTGGTCACTTCTGCCCCCGGGATGCAGGACTTTCTGGGCCAGGCCTTCTGTACCCTTGGAGAGATCGTAGGGTCTTCTGGGAGCCGCCTGGAGAAGCCTCTCACGTAAGTGTAGGAGGGTACAGCCTGTCGGGGTTCCCCCCTCTGTGATTGTGATGAGCCCACTCTGCTGAGACCCTGCTGGTGTCAGCATCACAGCCAGGGCTTTCAGAGAGGGATCCCAGGCCCCGTTCTCTCCATGCTTCTCACCGGGTTAATTTGGAGGGATCCTGGCTGAGTTATTAGAGCTTGTGTTCCTTCGGGGAGGAACAGTGACTGGGAACTGTCTAGTCAGTTTGCAACCCTACATCTCTAATCCTGTAAGGAAGTGACCAGAGAACAAATGCCAGGGGAAGTGACACGCCTAAGGCCATATAGACAGCAAGAGGGAAAGCTGGAATTGGAACCTGGGCTTTATTTGCACAGCGCATCCCTCAGCTTACTCACTGTGTGTAGGTGTAGACCTGAGCTGGGAGCTAAGAACAGGCTGCTGCTGGGGAGAGGGGCACTGGGGTGCTGGGGGCGTGCTTCTCACCTACCCACCTCTGATAGTCTGCAGGACTTCATGGCGCTCTTAGGGAAAGCTGTCACTCTGAGCTGAGAGGCCTCTGGGATGGGGAGTCGCCAGGATTCCCTCCATGGAGCTGCGGATGGGTTAGGCAAGGGCAGGTACAAACTAGAGCAAATGTCCAGGCCACAGGGAAGGCAGGAGAGGGGGATTCAGACTAAGCACGAACTTCTCACTTGCTTCTGCCTAGTTCCTGTCCTCACATTGTGGTTCATAACTGTAGTGTATATCTGTGTAAGTGTATGTGTGTGTGTGTGTTTGTAAGAAATAGATAGACTCTCCTAGAACCTTTCCTGTAAATTCCCAGTGACTACACGGTAGTATCGGGACACCAAGAAACGTTTCTTTTTCTCTCAAAAGTCTCTTCTTTTGCAAGCAAAGGGTTCCCAGAAAATAATAACCACCGTTTATTGAGATGGGGGGGGCTCAGGTTTGGAGGCTCTGCAGCTTAAAGAATTTGTGGCATTCTTCAAAAAATATGATACAAGAAGATGAGGAGATGGCTCCCTGGGAAAAGCACTCAGGCACAAAGAGTAGATTCCCAGCACCCATGCACAAGCTCAGCAGCCTGTGACCCCAGCCTCAGAGGCATGGATGGACAGAGCTCTTGGCTGGTTAGACAGCTAAATTGCAAATCTCTGGGCTCAAGTGTGAGCCTTTGCCTTGGTTTATGATGTGGAAAGTGATGAAGGAAAGGAGATCAGGCTCTGGATGTGAGTGCACGCGCGCGCGCATACACACACACACACACACACACACACACACACACACACGGTATGAAACTCACATTTGCTAGACAATCCGCAACATATCTTTAACTGATTCTTTAAAAGCAACAGAGCCAGGTGGTTGTGACACAGGACTTTAATCTCAGCACTCTGGAGACAGAGGCAAGCAGATCTCTGTGAGTTTGAGGCCAGCCTGGTCTACAGAGTGAGTTCCAGGACAGGCTCCAAAGCTACATACAGAGAAACCCTATCTCTAATTCCCCCAAAAAATAAAATAATAAGTAAAACAACGACAGGATAGAGGAGCTGAGACAACTCAGCCGTTAGCAGTGCTTGCTGCTCTTGTAGAGGACCCAAGTTTGCTTCCCAGATCCACATCAGGCGGTTCACAACCACCTGTCACTCCAGCTTCAGGCGATCCAAAGTCCTCTTCTAGACTCCAGGCACCTGCATGCATACACATAGACACACACACGTAAATAAAAATAAGACAAATCTTAAACAAGCAATGTAGATCTCATATATCCTTGGAAGTTTGAAAGTAGTAAGAACACAGAAAGTAGTCATTTAGGTTTCTCACAAAAGCAACAAAGATTTAATTTAGAATTTTGAGGGTTTTTTTTTAATTTTTTTTAGGTTTTGCATGTGGGTTTTTTATTTTGTTTTGTTTTTTGAGACAGGGTCTTTTTATGCAGCACTAGCTTGCCGGGACTCACTAAACAGACAAGGCCAATAACATATTTAAAGAGGCCCAAAATTTTTACCCACAGTTCACAAGACTGGAAAGATGACTCACCAGTTAAGAACACATACTGTAGGTCTGGGAAGATGGCTCAGTGGTTAAGAGCACTGGCTGCTGTTCCAGAGAACCTGGGTTCAATCTCCAGCACCCACATGAAGCTCACAACTGTCTGTGACTCCAGTTCCAGGGGATAAGGTTGTCTCACACAGGTATACATGCAGGCAGAACACTAATGTGCATAAAAATAAACTTGGAAAATTTTTTGAAATGAACACATCACAGCAGCCAGGTGTGTTGGTATACAACTTTATTGCAGCACCCACATCAGGTGGCATATAGTCATCTGCAACTCCAGCTCCAAGGGACTGAATACTGGTCTCATGTGCGCACACACCCACATGCAGACACACACACATGCAGACACACACACATAAACACACACACATACACACACACACACAGTTAAAAATAGTAAAAAACAGATTGAAAAAGGAAAAACAGAAAAGTGGAATTTTCCTAGGAGATATCACAATTAGCTCTTGTTCAATAGCAGTGTTCAGGGCCTATCATTCAAATTTATATATTTTAAATTTATTGTTGCTTATTCTCACACATGCATATAATGTGTTTTGATCATCTTTGTTCACAATTGCCCTCTCTCATCCCCTTTCTACTCTGGCCAAGAGGCCCAGGAGTGTGTCTGCACTTCCCAGCTCCCACCTGAGTGCAAATGTAACCAGTTACAGGGCCATTTCCTACTTGCTGCCTGTCACCTATCACCTTGGGAGGGACCCTTCCCACAGAAGATGAGCCCAAGGACAAGCAAGATCTGAAATGTGGTGTTATGGGAATGCTGTGGAGGAGGCAGGTCCTTTCCCCCAGAAGGTTTTGTGTATCTAAGTTTAGCCACTCATGACTAAACCAGCAGCTCCTGTTTACTGGGCATCTATTCTGGGACAGATGTGAGGGTCAGTGTTTTGCTAGTGAAATCTATGCAGGAAGCCCTCAGTGTTCCAGCACATACATATACTCCATCAACTACTTTTTTAAAAGGCTACATATTCCTGACCACCTGTCTTCCTGGTCACTATTCCCTGGACTATTCATTACAGGCAGCCTATGCTGAGCATTTACTATGTGTTAGGTATCATAAATCACCTAAGGATAGCTTAAAATATAAGTGATACTGGGCATGGTGGTGTATGCATGTAACCCAATCCTTGAGAAATAGAGACAGGAGGAGTTCAAGGCCATCCTCAACTCAAGTTGGAGGCCAGCCTCAGCTATGTGAAACCCTGTTTACTATTTATTTACAAATAAATAGTAAAATAAAATGTGTGTGGCTCATAGTCTAACACTGTGGTGGCCCTTTAAGAGATTTGCAGATCCAGTGGCTCCATTGTCCCAGAGGGAGCCAAGAACCAGTTTCTTGTGCCTATAAAGCAATGGTAGCCTTGGTTTGGTTTCATTGTGTTTAAGGATAGAGGGGATGTTGCTTTGAGAATCTCACTACAGAGTAGCCTCAAACTCAGGATACTTTTGCCTTGGCCTCACGAGTGCTGGGATTGCACGGCCATACAGTTTCCTTTGGGTTTTCGAGTCAGGGCCCTGGGGTCTCCCTCTGTGGCCCAGAAAGGACTCAACAGGTCCTTCCGCCTCACCTTAGCCTCCCAAATGCTAGAATTGTGGGTATGTGCCACCGTGCCCTGTCCAAGGGGCCGACCGAGTTCATTTCTGCTAAAGCCCGCTCTCCTTGGTTTGGGATGATTGTAGTTTTCCTCTCCTGTCTTCATGGAGTCACACTTCTGTGTGTGTCTGGACAGTCAGACCCCGCCCTTGTGACCTCAGTTCCTTGTCAACTCTTTTCTTAAAGTTTTTAAAAGTAATTTTTATATAAGTGTATATGTCTATTTGTGTGGGGTTATGAACACTTGAGGGCAGGTTCCCTCAAAGCCCAGAAGAGGGTGTCAAATTGCCAGAACTGACTGAGCTTCCCTATGTGCGTACTGGGAACTAAACTTAGTTCCTCTGCAAGAGCAGTCAGTCCTTCTCGCTCCTAGCTGCTGAGCATTTCCCCTTTAAAGCTCCTGTCTCCGAATATAGTACTATGGCTGATCGGTGATGGGGTGCTAGTCTGGGCCTGAGGCATGCAAATGCAGAGGAAGAGCTAAGCCACCGAGGCCCCCTCATGTAACACAGCCAGTCTCTACCTGCAGCAGATGTCCAGGTCAACTGGAGCAGAGGCTGGGCTCCACCTCAGGAGGAGTCCTGAGGCGTGTTTATCATACTTTCCCAGGGGCTGCTGGGGCTTCTGGTCTAGGGCCCCAATCTGAACACCTCAAGGGTAGCATGACTTACCCAGAGCCTTACCCTAAGGTCTGGGAAGTGTTCCTTCTGTGGTCTGGGCTTTTTGGTCCTGTTTTAATAACTTCCAGGGCATAAACCTGGCTCCAGGCATCCAGGGGTCAAGTGTTGTGGCCCATGAAGACTCATGCTTGGCTTTCTCCTCCTCTGTCTCCACAGGATAGGAGCTTTCAGCCTCAACTCCCGAACAGGCAAACCTATGCCAGCTGTGTCTAACGGGTAGGTCGCCACACAACTGTGGCCTTCATATCCTGCATTCAGCCTGCTCTCTAGAGGCCACAGCCTCTGGGCCCAGTTTCTGATCTACTTAATCCCTGGGTAGGAAGACAAAGGGTCCCAGATTGATCCTAAGGTCTCGGTCACCAAGATGACCCTGCCCTCAGAGCTGGGGCCTGCTGAGCTTGGTGGTTCTTGGGACAATAAGGAGTGGGGAGGGGCTCAGAGAGATGAGATATGCCCAGGGTAGGGAGGCCTTCGACCTCCCAGTTCCCTCTGTCCCTCCCAGCTCTGTCCCATTCCTTCTTCCCTCTCTTTTCCTCATCTACTGTCCCCTCCCCTACCCCCTCCTTCATGGCCTCTCTGTTAAACATCAGCCTTCTCCTTCCCATGGGTTCATTCGGCTCAAACACACACACACTGCTTCACACACATGCACACATACATACGCACTCTCTCTCTCTCTCACACACACACACACATACATACACTGCTACACACACACACACTGCTACACACACACACACTGCTACACACACACTGATACACACACACACTGCTACACACACACTGATACACACACACTGCTTCACACACATGCACACATACATACGCACTCTCTCTCTCACACACACACATACATACATACACTGCTACACACACTGCTACACACACACTGCTACACACACACACACTGCTACACACACACACTGCTACACACACACACTGCTATACACACACACACACTGCTACACACACACACTGCTACACACACTGCTTCACACACATGCACACATACATACGCACTCTCTCTCTCTCACACACACACACATACACACACTGCTACACACACACACTGCTATACACACACACACTGCTACACACACTGCTACACACACACACACACTGCTACACACACACACACTGCTTCACACACATGCACACATACATACGCACTCTCTCTCTCTCACACACACACATACATACACTGCTACACACACACACACACTGCTACACACACACTGCTACACACACACTGCTACACACACACACTGCTACACACACACACACACACTGCTACACACACACACTGCTACACACACACACTGCTACACACACACACTGCTACACACACACTGCTACACACACACACTGCTACACACACACACTGCTACACACACACACTGCTACACACACACACTGCTACACACACACACTGCTACACACATACACACACACTGCTACACACACACACTGCTACACACACACACACTGCTACACACACACACACTGCTACACACACACTGATACACACACACACTGCTACACACACACTGATACACACACACTGCTTCACACACATGCACACATACATACGCACTCTCTCTCTCACACACACACATACATACATACACTGCTACACACACTGCTACACACACACTGCTACACACACACACACTGCTACACACACACACTGCTACACACACACACTGCTATACACACACACACACTGCTACACACACACACTGCTACACACACTGCTTCACACACATGCACACATACATACGCACCTCTCTCTCTCACACACACACACATACACACACTGCTACACACACACACTGCTATACACACACACACTGCTACACACACTGCTACACACACACACACACTGCTACACACACACACACTGCTTCACACACATGCACACATACATACGCACTCTCTCTCTCACACACACACATACATACACTGCTACACACACACACACACTGCTACACACACACTGCTACACACACACTGCTACACACACACACTGCTACACACACACACACACACTGCTACACACACACACTGCTACACACACACACTGCTACACACACACACTGCTACACACACACTGCTACACACACACACTGCTACACACACACACTGCTACACACACACACTGCTACACACACACACTGCTACACACACACACTGCTACACACATACACACACACTGCTACACACACACACTGCTACACACACACACACACTGCTACACACACACACACTGCTACACACACACACACACACACACACTGCCTCCATAATTTGCCAGCTGCAAAGGACTGTCTACCTCTCCAATTCCCACTCTAACTCCTAGCTTTTGGTTGACCTCATAAAAACATGGCCAACACAGACACTCTGTGATCTTCCCTCTCCTCCCCTGAGGAGAGCCTGCATCCTGGTTTCTCTCTCATACTGTGTGGACCTAAGGGCCTTTGGGGCTGAATGAGGGAGTCCCACCCAGCCTCCCGCATATGAAGAAAGCCTGGAGGGGCATGTGTGGACCCCTCACAGCTGAGGACAAGCATGGCTACTGGTTTACGAGCAAAGTGGATACCAGCGAGCCAAGAGGGGATGTAAGCGGATGTAAGAGAGGGATAAATTCCAGAGGGAGAGAAGTAGAAAGAGGAAGGCCACGCTGGTGGGAGCAGGTTGAGGCAAGAGAGGAGGGAAAGCAAGATCAGAAATAGAAGGTAGAGTCCAAGGCAGAGCAACAGATGGAGGACCAGGGGTGGAGGAGACTGTGGCTGAGGACTCTGGTCTCTACCTGGCCAGAGTGTGGGGAAGGGCTGCCCAAGAGTAGGGGACAAGTCACAGCACTGCCACCTGCCTGGGACAGGTATGGAGAAACCGGGCTGTATCTTCAGCCCGGGGGAGGGAGGTGCAGGGGGGGGGGATGGGAGGGGGGTGCTTCTTGCTGGGGGCATCTCTGTCCTTGTCCTCTCCCTCCAGAGTGATGCTGGGGAAAACTCCATCTGGTTCTCAGAGGGTTCCACACATGGCATGCTGCTGCCTGCTGCACTGGGCTAGGCAGGAGGTGGGGTCTGGAATTCACAGTGTCCCACCATAGTGCAGCAAGCTGCAGAGAGGGAAATTGTGCCCATCTAGGGCCTTCTCCGAGCCAGGCACCGTGTATTTACCAGGAAAACAGAATCTGTGTCGCTCTCATGTATGGGCAGGGTCACAGCTGCCCCACAGCCTCACATACGACTCTCCTCCTCGGTGACCCTATGATCCCCCAACTTAGTCTCAAACCTTAGAGTGGCATGGGCTGACTAGCATGCCCCCTACTCCCACTGACAAGAGGAGGAGATGGTGGAGGTACCCTGAGTAGAGCTTTCTCTGACTTGTCCTTCTGGAGGGGCTTCGTTGCTGTAGACAGTCCCTTGTCCTGAGTGGCCCCTCACTAAGTAGGTGTCTTTTGGCCCCAGAAGACCCCAGCCAAGGATGAGCCATGGAGAGGACCCCCTCCCCAACACCCTCCCTAGTAAAGCAGACTGGCTCAGAGCTGGAAAACCAGGAGAGCCTGGGTAGCTGGGTACAGGGTGGCTAGCCCACAAGGTCTTTTGCCCACAGAAGTGGTCTTTGGATGGAAAGCTTCAGAACCACTGATCCGGAAGCTTCCGGGTGAGTCCGGGTGCTGCTGCCATTCTGAGGCCTCCCTGGTGGGCCTTGGGAGCAGGGGGCGGGCCACCCAGGCTGAGGGCCCTGACCCCAGCACACAGCGCTCACTCAGCCGCACTGCCTAGGCACTTCTGGGGTCTTTCTCAGGGGCATTGGGGGTAGATGCTTGTATGACATGGGGCCGGCATGGGAGCAGCTGACCCAGGAATACCTGGCTTGTCATTTTTGTTTCTTCTCCCTCAGAGGTGTCCCGGGGAAGAAGTGTGGCTCCATCATCCTGTCTGCAGAGGAGCTGAGCAACTGTAGGGTGAGTAGCAGGGGCTACCTCGCCATGGCCCAGGGTGACCCATCCCTGGAGGGAGCTCTAGGTAGACGGGGCTTCTTGTGACCTGGCTGGCATGAGAGTGTGACATCGGAGCTAGAAGATTCGCTGCTTATGGCTGAGTAGAGTGAGACCCAAGGCAGGAAGGATGAGTCTGCGGCACAGGCTGCGCCAGCACCAGAACTAATGACTCTGAAGCCTTTTGGGCCTTGGGCACTTGACATTTGGTTCTCACTTTCCACTTTGTCTCTGGCATAGGATGACATCCTCTGTGGAGCAGAAGGAGAAAATGTATATGTGTGTGGGTATGAGTGTGAGTGCGTGTGCACGGGTGGACGTGAGTGTGGGTGTGATTATGAATATGGCTGGGTGTGGCTGTTGGGAAGCCAAGAGTCTGCAATCCCAGACAGCCTTTGAATTTGCCTCTTCTATAGGACTGTGGGGAAGCAGGCAACAGGGGTGGCATGACACCAAGAAAGGGGCCAGGGCTCCTCTGGCTGATGACAAAGGGAACAAAGGAAAATATGTAAGGGTGCTGGCAACTTGTCAAGTGATGATGGGCGATGTCCTGGTTTACTTTGAGTTGCTGGGTTTGGGGAGGAAAGGGTTTGCTTCAGCTCATAATCCCAGCTGACAGTCCATTGTTGTGGGAACTCAAGGCAAGAGTTTGAAGCAGGAACCGTGGAGGAGCGCTGCTTACTGGCCTGCTCTGAGGATCATGATCAGCTCACTTTCTTATGTATCTCACACTCACCTGCCTAGGGATGGCACCACCCACATTGGTCTGGGCCCTGCTACATCAATTAACCACCAAGAAAACGCCTCAGAGCCCAGGAGATGGCTCAGGGTATTGCTCTCGTACTGGATCCGAGTTCTGTTCCAGTGCTAGTGTTGGGTGGCTCACTGCTGCTGTTACTCCAGCTCCAAGGGGGCCAAATGTGCCTGGCTTCACAGTACCTGCATTCCTGTGCACATACCCATACATATAGTTAAATATAATAATAAAAAAAAAAGCAAAAAGAAAATGCCACTAAGGATGGCCATGGACCAACCTGATGGAGGAAATTCTTCAGTTGGGTTTCCCTCTTCCCTGGTGACTGTAGGTTTGTGTAAAGTTGTTGAAGCTGACCATGACAGGCACTGACATTGGTCCTGAGACCTAGGATGAGAATCTTGTTTATGCATTGGGGAAGGACTTGAGCAAGATTTCCATTTCCCAAGAAACTATAGTTTCTCTTGGGAACAAGAGGATGCAGAGCTGAGCTCTACTCCAGGAGAAGCTGACTGTAAGATCAGAGCTCTGTCCCCAAGGCCACCCAAACCAGACATCACCCGAGCTCAGTGAGGAACCCCTCATGTGAAAGGGGCCAGGTGGAGGTTGAGTGACAACCCCAGGCCAAGCCTGGGCATTTGGGGCAGGGCTCCCCTGGGGCTGTAGGAAGATCCTGACCTGCCTGGATCGGAGCAGTCCCTCACCAGTATCTACCATGTTAGAAACTATGAGAGAACAAGTGTGATGTCATACATTAATTCCTTTTATAGTAGTAATAGCAGAACACATTAAAAATCAACATAGTAGCCAGGTATGCTGGCACACACCTTTAATTCCAGCATCTGGGAGGCAGAGGCAGACTGGTCTCTATGAATTTGAGGCCTGGTTTACTTAACAAGTTCCAGGACAGCCAGGGATATAGAGGGACCCCATCTTAAAAAACAAAAACACAATCAACATGGGAGACTGGAGAGGTGGCATAATGGTTAGGAACACAGGATGCTCTAGTAGAAGACCCAGGTTTGAGTCTTAGCACCCACACTATAGCTCACAACTATCTATAACTCTAGTCCTAGAGGACCCAACACCCTCATCTAGCTTCTGAGGGAGCAGGCATGCATATGGCATACAAACATAAATGCGACAACACTTACATAAAACACACACACGAAAGAATCAACATAGGGTCTTGGGGTCTAGGCTGGCAGAGTGCTTGCTCGCTCAGTAAGTATGAAGCCCTGGCTTTCACCCCAGTACTAAATAAGCCAAGCATGGAGGTGCAGGCCTGAAATACTAGCACTCAGGAGATAGAAGCAAGAGGATCCAAAGTCCAAGGTGACCCTCAGTGGTACTGTGAGTGCAAGGCCAGCCAGAACTACAGAACAGAGACTGTTCCCTTAGAGAGAATGTGTGTTAACGTTTAATAACATTTTCCAAAAACGAATATTTTGGGTGAGACGAGTGGCTTTGTAAATCTAATGTCTGAGGTCCTAGAAGATACCAGAAGGGGCTGAGGTAAGTCTCAGTCAGCTTTAGAGTGCTTGCCCAACAGGCAGAAGGCCAAGTATTCATCTTCTGAATGGACCTGGGGGGAGGCAGGAGGGGGCAGACAACTGGATGGTCACATCTGTGTAGGCAGTGTGATGATTCTCGGCCAGGCCACACTAATGGTTCATAGATGTAGACTTGTTTATATGTCATCTTGTGTAGTGTGGGGTTTCTAACAATCAATAGTCAAGGTCCTCAGTCACTTTTTGTTTGTTTGTTTGGTTGGTTGGTTGGTTTTTAAAGACAGGGTTTCTCTTTAAATAACATTGGCTAGGGCACTTTGGACATTGTAAGCCTAGGTGGGCTGTTGATGTTAATTGGTTTCCAGCAACTTATAGACGTCTTCATCTATGACCTTTGAGCCCTCCCCCCCCCTTCATCCTTGGACACAGTAGGTTCCTTGCTGGAGGCTGTGCCTGCACTGGGGAGGTTTGGGGGCTCCCTCCCTCCCTCCAGAGGCTGCCTGCTCCCTTCTCTTCTGGCACATCTTTGGCTGAATTCTCTCTTTCCCTAAAATCCTTGCAAGGAAAAGAAGCTAATTCTCAGCATCTGGCTGAATTAAAATAATTACATGTGAGCAGCTTTGCAACTCCGGCTTTTTGATGGGAGGATCAAAGGGAGAGGGTGGGGTGTGGGTCTGCAAGGCATGGGGCTTCCTGCCTTCAGCCTGAAGCTTGTGTGGGTGGCCAGGGACAGCAAAGGATGGAGTGGATGCCAGCTTGTCACAGGCTTACTTTAGTAAGTAAAAGAAAAGCCTTGCTCATGTAGAATATTAATGCCAAGAAGATTTCTACAATCAGGCTTGATTCGAATATATCCTTATGTTGACAGGGTGAGGGTCAGATCCCTAGTCACCCACATTTCCCCATGCCCTGTGGGGATTCCTGCAAGGTCCTCAACTCCCTGAGGCTCTTGTTCACAGACACACCTTATGCTGGAGATTGAACCTAGGACCTTGGTGGTGGGCAAGCAATCCACCACTGAGCTACATCACCAGCCCTCTTTTTTATTTAAAAAAGAAAAGAAAAAAAAAAGGCCAGGTGTGACAGTTGGCTCATGCCTTTAATTGCAACACCTGGGAGGCAGAGGCAAGTAGATCTGAGTTCCAGGTCAGCCTAGGCTATCTAGTGAGACTCTGTTTCAACCAGAATAGGCAAAGGACAATTTCTCATTAGTTGGAATGATAGTCCTGTAGGTTCTGTGGGCTTATAGCCATCGGTGGAGAAAGCCAGCTTTGAACATTGGAAGTGGCATTTGGAATGATGGGTGCTGGCTGCACATTCGGTGAAACGCCTGGACCTCCTCAGCTTTTCTGGTTGGTTAGATCATCATGATTGGTACCCATCTTCCAGGCTCCTGATGAGAGGCAGGGGAACCCAAGCTTCATACTACAGCATCCTGGGGTCTCCCCACCCATGAACCGTTTCTAGACTGCTCAGGAATTCGTCTCAAGTCAGCAAGTAAACGTTCCATTCACCCTGCCCACTGTCCACCAGAGTTCTAATTTAGTGTGAGAAACACCAGCCGGCAATCCCAGCCTCTCTGCCCTGGCTCGTTCTGGCTCTCCACCCTGTCAGACCTGCTGCCTCTTTCTGTCGAATGTACTTCATGACATTCTTGATCCTGAAGGAAAATCCCTGGGCATTTAATATGTGCCCATGTGGGAAAGTAGGTAGGAGATACGTTCTTGCAACCAGTTCCCTGGGAAGCAGGGAGCCTAGGCAAAGGTCCTGGAGTCAGGAGATGAGGGGCCAGGTAGGCTGCAGGTGGGGATGGTGGCAGGAGGGGCTGGATCCTTTTTCTTTTCCTTCTTTCCCTACCATTTTTGGGGGTGGGGTGGGATAGGGTGGGATTTCAAGGTAGCGTTTCTCTGTATAACCCTGGCTGTCCTGGAACTCTCTGTAGACCAAGCTGGCCTCAAACTCAGAGATCTTCCTGCCTCTGCCTCTGGAGTGCTTGGACCAAAGTTGAGCTGCATCACTGCCCCGTGAAGAGGGTCTGGATTCTATGAAACCTTCCAGCCAGGGAGTTCAGGGGGCTTGATGGTGCTGTTTCTCTTCGCTGCAGACTCTGGAAGGGAATAGCCAAAGGAGGGAGATAAGAGGAAAGCATGGGCGACGTGGGTGTGGGGTGTGGAGCCTCTGACACTCAGTTGCATTCTGGCTGAAGGGTAGGGAAGGCATGTTGCCCATGCTAGAAAACACATGAGCATCCTCCCTAAAATGCAATGTATAATTTCTTAGTCTCAGAAATAATTTCTCTAGTCAAATCAAAACAAAACAAAAGTGCTGTCTCTGATGCTTAAATATATGTGTATGTAGTATCACATTAACCATATTAGCCCTGGAGAGATGGCTCAGTGGTTAAAGCACTGTCTGCACAAGCAAGGGGACCACAGTTCACATCCTGAGAGCCCACCTGGATGCTGAGTGGGCATGGCAACCCTGTAATTCCAGTCTCTGAAGATGGATATGGATCCCCCTTCCCAAGAGCAAACAAGCCTGCAATCAGAGCCATAGTAGCCGGCAGTAGGTTTGATTGACACTTGCCTCATAGAATAGGATGGAAAGTGATCAAGGAAGGTGCCTAACATCAGCCTCTCCTCGAGTACATGTGCTCAAGCATATGTGCACAGGCACTTGCACACAGGTGTACCTATACACGT